GAAAATCTTCTCCCTTACCCAAGCACTCTCGGAGTTGAACAAAGGGAACATGTCCATCACGACATGCTTCAACAAGCTCTCGGCGCTTTGGAATGAATTGGAAGCAGCCGAGGAAAAAATCGAAGGACCAGAATCAACCTTGCAGTAGTACAAAGGTATAAAGGAGAGAGAAAAGGTAACCCGTTTTCTCTTGATCTTAAATGACACATACCTTTCGTTTTGATCACAGATTTTGGCCATGGATCCCGTACCATCTCTCGGTTGGATTTACCAACTGGCTATTCAAGAAGAAAGCCAGCGTTTTACCTTGTCGGAATACACGAAGGGAGGAGAGAGCATCTTGCTTGCGGTGAGCCAAAAGAGAGAATGCAGAGAGACACCGAAAGTCGAACTCATGGCCATAACCTAACACTACAAAAAAACCGGACACCGAAAGTCGAACTCATGGCCATAACCTAAGAGGAGCTACGTTAGGGTTAACTGATGAACTGAGAGCCTTTAAAAGGCATGATATGGACGGCCCAGATCACATGCAATGATCGGACGGTCCACGATTCGGCTTATCCGCTCCCGTATCGGATGGTGGAAACGAGGGGATAAACAAGCAATCGAATGGCCATATTTTTGCCACGTCATCAAGAAATTATGGGCAAAATTCAAAAGGGAAAGGTAAATTGTTTTGCAATTATTGTAAATGCCCTCATCATACAATTGATAATTGCTGGAAATTACATGGCAAACCCACGGAAAAAGGAAAAAAGGAAAAGGAATTCTCAGTAGCTTATCAAGTCACTGGCCCAATTGGTCCAAATGATAATAAAATTAATCAGCTCGTTACTTATGAACAATATCAGCAGCTTATGAAGGCCTTGCAGAAATTGGACAATTCCGACAAAGTGGGAGATTTTTTAGGTATTTCCCATTGTCTGATAACGTCTCAAGCAATGTATGAATAATTGACTCAGGTGCTAGTGACCACATTATCTGCGATAAAAGTTTCTTTTCCAATACCCATAAACAATTAAGCTTTCCCATTTCGGTGCGATTGCCAAATGGAAATGTCACATACGTCATAATGACTGGCACAATAAATCTTAGTCCTCTCATAATCCTTAAAAATGTCCTTTATGTACTAGACTTTCAATTCAATCTCATTTCTGTCTCTAGAGTTTGTAAGGAAAATTCTTGTTGTGTCTTTTTCAATTCTGATAATTGCTTTCAGGTCCTTTTGACTGGCAAATTGATGGGCCTGGGTAGTATCTCCGAAGGGCTATATTTTTGGATCAGCTTTCCAAATAATTTCGATTTGTCTTCTGTTCCTTTGAATAAACAATCATTGTGTAACACGACTACTAATGAAAAAAATCTTCTTTCGCATCAAAGAATGGGTCATAGTGCATTTTTTCCTTACCTTCAATGTCAAATTTATCCATTAGCGAAACAATCGCGGACTCCTTTTCCATCTAGCAAAACTCGTGCTAGTAGCATTTTTTCACTAATTCACGTTGACATTTGGGGACCATATCATATCTCACATCCCGATGGCTCTCGATTCTTTCTTACAATTGTAGACGATTATTCCCATGCTACATGAGTTTTTCTGATGCAATCAAAGAGTAAAGTACTTTTCTATCTGAAAATGTTCTTTTCTCTATCAAAGAATCAATTTGGGAAATTCATTCAGCATATTCATATTGATAATGGAAGAGGATTCTTCAATAATGAATGTGCTTCCTTCTTTTCTTCCCATGGGGTCTTATATGAGAGTTCATGCACTTACACCCCCACAACAAAATGGGGTTGTGGAGCGTAAACACTGTCATCTCTTAGAAGTCGCACATGCCCTCAAATTCTAGGCTTCTATTCCAGAAACTTTTGGGAAGATTGTGTGGTCATGTCAGCTTACTTGATCAATCGTATGCCCTGATGAATGAACTCCTTTTGAGTTACTTTTTGGGAAGAAATCGGAGCTTCATCACTTGAAAGTTTTTGGCTACTTATGTTACGTCACCACAATGGGCCCTTGGGACAAAATGGGTCCCCGTGCCCGTCGTTGTGTATTCATGGGATATCCAAGTCTGTAGAAGGGATATTGTGTTTTTGAGCCTTCTACAGATGATTTTTTTCGTAAGCAGAGATGTTGTTTTTCATGAAGACATATTTTCGTTTCGTGACGAAGTATCGTCTAATGAAGATTTTGGCCAAATGACTAATTCTCATAGATTCTTATCTGAAGAAGAATTTATTCAAGATCCTCAATATATTTTGGCTGCACCACCGGATCATCCAATATCATCCCCAACATCATCTCCAATTCCAAATGAGATTTTGACTCCCGTTTCGATCTTGGACCAAACAATTGAGAATCTTGAAGAAGATTCCGGTCCCTCATCAAGCACATCTACATCGGCACCTATTGCTGACAAGCCATTATCTTCTATGCCTGAGTATGATCCACCACAACGCTCATGTCATGTCACCCGTCCACCTACATGGACTAAAGATTATGTTTGTGCTACCCAAAATTCACCAGGTACTCATTACCCAATATCGTCATATGTTTTTATTCATCGGCTTTTACCAGAACATGAGCTGTATTAGTCGTACATCAGAAGAATGAGAATCGTCTTCTAATTATGAGGCATTTATTAATCCACGTTGGCAAAAAGTAATGGAAGCAGAATTATAGGTTTTAATCGATAATCAAACTTGGGAAATTGTGACACTACCTCCTAATCGTAAACCGATTGGTTGCAAATGGGTGTACAAGATTAAATATAAAGCATATGGCTCTATTGAACAATGCAAGGCTCGATTAGTGGCCAAGGGGTTTACACAACGAGAAGGTTTTAATTACCACAAAACCTTTTCCCCAGTAGCAAAAGATGTCATAGTTAATTTCTTCTTATCGATTGCTGCTTTTTGTGACTGGCCACTACACCAGATGGATGTATACAATGCCTTCCTCCATGGTGATTTATATGAAGAAATATACGTGGAACTTCCTAAGGGTTTACGGAAACAGGGGGAGTCCAAAGTATGTCGTCTCCGCAAATCCCTTTACAGTCTCAAACAAGCTTCCAGACAGTGGTATGCCAAGTTTGCCAATGCACTACAGCTACAGGCTTTAAGCAATCTAGACATGATTATTCCTTGTTCACGTGGACGAAATGTATGTCATCTATCTACTTGATGATATATGATGGCAATATACTTATTATGGGAAATGATGAGACTGCTATCAAGAGTCTTAAGGGATATTTGCATTCTACATTTCACATTAAAGATTTGGAATCACCCAAATATTTTCTTGGAATTGAAATTGCTCGATCAGACCAAGGGATTTCTGTGAGCTAGCAAAAATTCATATTGGAAATTATACCAGAAACAGGTCTATCAGGATGCAAGCCAACTGTTATTCCTATCGAACAAAATGTCGAATTAACTACAGTTGATTATGATGCAGGAACATCCCAAGATGATGATCCTATACTCAAGGATCCATCAAGTTATCAGAAACTCGTTGGAAAGCTTATATATTTGACTATAACGAGATCTGATATATGTTATGCAGTACAAACACTCAGTTAGTTCATGCGTAGTCCTAAACAGTCCCATATGGATGCTGCTATAAAGGTTGTAAAATACTTGAAGAAATGCCCAAGACTTGGAATTCTCCTTTCTAGAAGATGCAATATGGAAATGATGGTCTATTGTGATACAGATTAAGCAACTTGTCCAATGAGTCGTAGGTCCATCACTGGTTACTGTATTAAGCTAGGAGAATCTTTGCTTTCATGGAAAACGAAGAAAAAACCCATTGTCTCATTATCATTAGTTGAAGTAGAATATCGAGCCATGGCAAAAATCACAAGTGAGATAGTATGGATATTAGGCCTACTTCAGGACCTTGGGATACAAGTTAAAGGACCAACCAAATTATTTTGTGATAATGATGCGGCTCTCAAACTTGCGGCAAATCCTATAGTACATGAACGGATGAAGCATATAGAAGTGTATTGTCATTTCACTCGAGACAAGATCCAAGAAGGAATAATTGAGACAAGAGGAATCGGAACCACATAACAGCCTGCAGATATCTTCACAAAAGCTCTATGTCAAAAATAACATGCATATATATTGAGCAAGCTGGGTGTCTTGGATATCTATAAGCCCCCAGTTTGAGGGAGAGTGTTGGAAGATATGCTCGAGATTCTTGGAAGATGTGCTCGAGATGTGGGAATCAATCCTGATTGTGATTGATACAACACATCAATCAAGGATTCGGATGAATCAACTTGAGATTAGTATAGATTAGAATTGATCCATTTGAACCAATCTTTTCCTTTTATTGTTCATACTTTGTACTACATATACTGAACATTGTACATGCAAAACTTCAAGTTGAATCAACACAAATTCAGATTCTCTTCATTCTTCTCTTTCTCACTTTGTGACAAAGTTCCGCCATGCGGAAGTTCCTTATGGTTTGTTTGGGAAGGAGAGAAGTGGGGAAATGAAAGGGGTGTAAAAAGTGGGCTAAAAAATTGAATTTCTGGTTTTCTTGGCCAAAAGCTCGACTTGGAGGAATAATTGATGAGAATCATTTTATTTACATATGTGAACGAGTACCTACGATGTTGTGACTCGAGAGTGTTGCAAATTGGACTGCTAAATCGTCCATGGCTGCTCTGGACACGCGGTTTCCGTAAAACCGTGAGCTTCTACATGCTCAATTGGTTTGATTACAAAGCGGGGAAACAGATGAAATGAGCCACTCTTCCATTTAGTTGACGTAGCATGTCGCAGGACGACATACGTCACCGTGAAATTTCGTGGAATGTCCAAAAACTTAAATTAAGAAGGCGTGATTTAACTCAAATACTTTAATGCTCCTTTCCAAGCGTAGACTAGACTTTGCTCTAAATTAAAATAAGAGAATGTATAGCCGAGGAGGCAAATAGGGCCTCGAAAGGTTTGAACTTAGAATTTGCAGCTATGATATAAAGTGAAATTTGGTGGAACTATATCCAAGTATTAACAGTGTAAACTATTTGCGGAGGACCGGGTTTTATTTAAATACATTGACAATCGCCATAAAAATAATGCAAAAGGAAAGCAACTGTAGAATGAACGAAATACACCAAGGTGTAATATATGTTTATTTATTCAAATCATAGATAATACCGATTGATCAACTGAAATTAGTGACTGGGAGGATGTGGCACATCCCCACATTTTGCTGTTGACGAGTCGTCAATCATTCGATCACCAGCATCATCTGAAGGCTGACAAGCCGAGGTCCCGCTTGTCGTTCCGTCGTCTTCCAAGTCATCTAAGAGGTACGTCTCAACTCCCCAAAAATAAATGTAAGCGAGAACAAGCCAGAATATCAGACGACGGATAGGACGATGATGACTCCAAAGAAAGAGAGGGTACTCTATCATTGTAGCACCTGAGATAATTAGGAGGAAAACGAGTCCCAAATAAAATATGGTGTGAGCAAGCCAAGGGAGTTTTCCAACGGTCAAGGTGACACCAGTTAAGAAAGCGATGGACATCGCCGGGAGTGCAATTATTAGCAGTGGTCCTGAGTGCCGGTCTGCAGCTATCGCAGCTTCGACGTCGTGCTGTTGCGCATAGATGAGGTTGATGACGGCGATCATTGAGCAGAACATCGCGATGGTGTTGGAAATTGCGAAGGCCTGGAACAATCTCTTGTCCAGCATCGTAGCCATGCCCCAGTCATCTTTAGAGGCCGTGTCCGAGCCGTTAAATCCTCCAGGGACTGCAAAACCAGCTGCGAAAGTCACAGTGGCCACAAGCGTTGCCACCAGCAGACGTGTATTAATCCAATCCTTCATGAGGTCTATTTTTAGCTTCTTTTTGCGGAGGGAGTATATTGAATACGCTTCATCTCGAGCTTCCGGCCTAAGTAGGAGTAAGTATCCTCCTACAGCTGGACTTTTCCCAAATGTCGAGGATGACAACACTATTAATGTCAATCGCTGAGATGCCGCGAATATAAGAAGGAAAAAAAGAACAAATCGTTACCATATCGATAAAGGGAAAGAACTCTAGAGTAATCAACTAAAGGGAAACTTTTACATTTTAAAGAGTTAACATCAGAGTACAAGTTCTTTTTAGATGAAAGAGGAGGCATAAAATTAAATGTACATGATTTATCGTTTCATAAGTTGAGTTTATCTTAATGTTATGAGATTATGCCATACATAGAGTGGGCAAAATTTGCCCCATTGACCCCTGGCTTTTTGAAAAAAAAGAAAGAAAAAAGAATGCAACACGACCCCCGGCTTCTATACGTGACCGTATCTATAGGCTCAATTAATCAAGATATATATCAATTTATCTATGTATTTGTCGGAGATATTTAACTTGTTTCTGCAAGCGGACATATTCATGGCCACAAGCTTTAACTACCTCCTATTAAGACTAAATTAGAGATTGCAGACCATTAATCCTAGAGGAGTCTCGGCTATTCTAGTAATTTGATCAATGCTTCAACATTGCTATCGATTGGGAGACATAATGATTTGAATACAAGATCTGCGCTTTACTAAAATATTAGTCTATGGATATTTCTAGCAAGTTGATAAATAAAATAGTTACCTACCTTCCGTAACGTAGGCTCCCTTCTGATGCGATCTAGAGCAATGTCATAAGCAGTCAAGCATTCGTGGTTGATCCAGATGGGAATAATTCTTTCATCCATCACAAGAGGAATCAAAGCGGCGGGTTGTGAATACATCGCTGCCAAGTGTAGAGTTGTATTTCCAGCAAGATCTACACCATTTATCAGCATCCCCAGTCCTGTATGTCTGAGTATATATCTCACTGCTGAAGATCTCCCATATTTTGCTGCGACATGGAGAATGCTTTGCCCTTGCCCATTTATCAGATGTGATACCGGAAGTAGCTTCTCGATTAGTTCAACATGACCCATCTTGCTCGCAATATGAATGGGAAGATCGCCATTCATATCCCGTTGTTTGGCCAAATATTCTGTTTCCGGTCCTAAGAATTTGAATACTCGGGCCCAACCCGTGTAAGCTGCTAAATGGAATACATTACCGCCACCAGAGTCGGTCATTGCAAATAGCTTCATGTTCTTTTTGAGTATCAAGTCAACCAAATCTGGGATTAGGAGCTCCAAATTAGGGATAAGGATATCTTCCACGTAACCTTAATCACTACTAGGATTGGCAGTCACCGATGTTGGATAACATTGCAATGCTGAAACTAGCAGTGCTAATTTTGATTGAATAAGAAAGCCTTGATCTTGCTCAATTTATGGCTTTTGTCCATTTTAATTTTCATCGGAAGAAGAATACTAGAAGTGCTAAAAATTGTGTACGATGCTCACTTTAGTGCCAAAAGTTTTTGTCGGCTCACTTAAGTGCCAAATCGGAAAAAAAACGATCACTTAAGTACCTTCGGCAAAAAATTCCGACCAAAAATATGACGTGGCTTTTTTAATTAAATGTTAATGCTTATGTGGCTTTTTCATTAAAAAAAAGTCCAAATGGACAATGAGTTGGTCTTTAGGCTCCGTTCGTTTGGCGGAAAATATTCTCCTTTTGGAAAATATTTTTCCGGAATTCATTTTCCTGGAAAATGTTTTCCCGGAACATAATTTTCCGGTGTTCGCGACCAATATGAAAAAGTTTCGGAAAATATTTTTCGCCGGCGACAGCGGCGGTGGCCGGCGGCCGGCGAGCCGCGGAGGCGGCCAGCGGCCAGCGCAGCAGCGGCAGCGCAGCGGAGGCCGGCGACCGACGGCCAACGTCCGGCGTTCGGCGGCGCGATCGGCGACCGCGGCCAACGTCGCGTCCGCGGCGGCGGCGGCGGCGCCAACGTCCAACGTCCGGCCCGGCGGCAGCGGCGGCGGCGTGGCGGTGGTGGGCGGCGAACGGTGGTGGCCGGCAACCGGAGCGGCGGCCGCGACCGCGGCGACCGGGGGTGGCGCGGCCGGCAACCGACGGCGAGCGGCGGCGGCCGGCGACCTTAGTGAAGAAGAAGAAGAAGAAGCTCCGGAAAACGATTTCCGCTTTTGAAGAAGCGGAAGTCATTTTCCGTAGACTTAAGGCTATTTTGTGAGGGGAAGGAAAATATTTTCCCACGGAAAACGTTTTCCGCCCCGAACACTGGAAAATCCGGAAAATATTTTCCGGGAGAATATTTTCCGCCAAACGAACGGAGCCTTAATCACGAAACGACATCATTTTAAAGCAATTTCATCTCTCTTTCTCTCTCGTTCTCTGTGCTCTCTTTCTCTGTCATTCAAGCCATGTTTGACAATTTTTAAGCAGGTTTTGTGGTTTGAAGAGTAGCCCTTCTTCTTGAGTATCTTAGGTTGGAAAGACATCGTGGTTTGGAACAAAACATCAAGCGTTGGTGATTGGTGCCAGAGAAGGAAGATCGAGCGAATGCGAGAAACTTCAAACAGTTGGATAAAAAAAACAGGGGAGAAGAGAGGCATGGCCGGCAAGACTTGGAAGCAACGAATGGTGTCAATCGACGTTGGTGACAACGTCCACCAAGTTTTCTTTCTTCTATCCAACTCTCTAGTCTACCTTCAAAGTGGACCATATTTCCTTTACAAAATATGTTCTCCTCTGCTTGAATTCCGTAATCAAACCCAAACCCACAAATCCATGGATCCAAACCCGAGGAACTACCCACTCCTTGCCTTCGTTCTGCCAAATCGACCCCAACTCTCGCCCTTACCTCCCACCCGACGACGCGTACAACCTATTCAACCAAATGACTCCTTGCCTTCTACCAAATCGACCCCAACTCTCGGCCTTACCTCCCACTCGACGATGCCCACAACGTATTCGACCAAATGCCTCACCTGACCAACCCAAAGGTTGCGTCTTCCCTCGCTTGATCCGTCCCCGCCAACATCATCCAGACCCGGACTCTCCTCCATGCCCTTGAGTGTAATGAGAGGACCTCAGCTAATTGGTGGCTCTTGAGAATTAGGGTTTTTATTTGGGGAATTTGGAAAAAAACTTGATTGTCTAATTTAGGGTTTACATTTGGGCAAAACAATAAAACGACGTCGTTTAGAGGTTTTATGCTGACTGGGCACGCCAGCGAGCCATGTAGGACTGGGAAATTAATAAAATATGGCCACGTCAGATTTTCGACGACCCATATCAGAGTTGGTATTTAAGTAATCGTTTTTTTTTTTAAAAAGGTGACATTTAAGTGATTCGAAAAAAGCTTTTGGTACTAAAGTGAGCACCGTGCACAACTTTTGACACTTCTACTGTTTTTCTCCCAATTTTCATCGCATTATAATTGCTTGATCTACATAGTGTTGACGACATGACATATACCACATCATTTTGTAAGGTTTGAGCATTACTCCCTCATTTATACACATGCATAAATGACTTGTGAGAATTTTGTATTTCTAAAATTATCCTTGTATTACACCTACAACTACCCGCTTACCAATATCTTTATACATATCCATCTAATAAACACGTCTTTATTGGAGAATTAGGACAGATTTATATCAAATGCTAAACGTCCTATATAGTTTGGGACATATTTAATGATTTATAATTGGGAAATCTCATATCGAACCTAATATGTATTAATTACTACATGCTCTTACTTCCTTGATATTTCTTAGGCCATTTAATTAGTAAGTATGCATTTTCTAACTCTACTAGGATTTAAGATGGTTTTAAAATTAACTGATAGGTAAATCTAAATCTCGAAGATGATAAATCATATACCAAATTAAATTTACTTTGTTACAAAGCTAAAGATATAATTTTGTGAAGGGTGGGGCTATTTCCACCCTCATTTTGGATGGAACCAAAAGCACTAGGGTAAAACCAAGAATCGGTCATATTCTGAGTTCCCGAAAAAAGCGAAACTGCTACTGTGCGGTTCAGTTCCCAGTTCTTGAGTAAGAACCAAACCGGGAACCGATGAACCGGAAATTATATATTGTAAGTGATATATATCTTTTTATATAATAATTCCATTGTATAGTGAGAGATATTTTATTTAATCTCTTCTATTTTTTTAGATATGGATTGTCTTAATGAGGATATTATCATCGGTAAACAGAGGTCATGAGTTGAAGTTGAATGAAGATATGTGATGAGGTTTTCTAATAACTATTTTAGTTTAAGAATCTTTGTAAGTGATTAACTATGTTTGTTATTTCTTTTGGTTTCAAGTGGTTATAATTTGGAACAATTTTTCATAGATGATTGAGGACTAAAGTTCTATAATTTAGGTTTTATGTTACGTTTTTTGAACTTTCTATTGTTTATTTTATAAAGTGTTACTATAGATGAATGGACATTTTTGTTGTTGCATTCACTTTCATTTTGATTAACTAAAATGCAACAAAAAAAGGAATAAAAAGATGAAACAAAAAATAAATAAATAAATTGGCTGGTTCCCTAGTAGACCTTGGAGCCGACCCTAAAACAGATTGACAAGATAGGTTCCAGATTCTAAGGTATGTAGGACATGTTTTAAGTTTCAAAAGCTGGGAAATCGGTTTCGACAGGATAGGTTCCAAGTTCTAGGTCGAACCTGAACCGATCCTGAAATCACTCACCCCTAAGAAACCACACCTTTGTATTTGAAGTGACTAGAGTATCTTCATGCTCAATAGTCAAATAAGTAATAATTTAATATTAATTTATCAAATAGTGCATTTGGCTCATTATAACTAATACCACACATAATTCTATGTAGTTCATTTATTAATAAGAGATCAGACTTAATAGTTTTTTTAGGAAAGTAATGATGTAACACTGAGACTTTGCCCCCTTTTAATATAATTGATGTTGGTGTGAAAGTTTATTTCATTCACATAACATTCAGGAACAAAAGGGGGAACCAAATTTGTGTACAATGCAATATGTGTAGAGATTTTATAATAGAATAATGCATTTATACTAATATTCTTTTAATAAAAGGTCATAGCCGCACAGCCCCAATCTTCTTTGCAACCGGATAAACAAGTCATTAGGTTTCTGTGGAATAATTTTGTGGTACCGTTCTCTTCTCGTTTTCAAATTAACGGTACCGTTCTCTTCTTGTTTTCCTTCACTTTTTCCACTCGACACGACTTGCCTTTCATACAAAAGAAACATAAAATGGAAAAATTGGTTTTTATATTTTAATTTTCTGAAACTTGATGAGTAAGTCATCCATTGCTTCACAAAGTGTACTGAGGCTGTACTGGGTACGTTACTCACAATGAGAGTAAAGGACCGTCACCCGGTCATTCTCCTTACTAAAGTGCTTGGTAGCTCATCTATCATATTCTAATGTGAGATAATTTGTTCACTAAAAGAATTATATGGCTGGTTGCAAGCACCCAATGAATATTCAACTACGTTAATAAGTGGGGTTTGGGAATTTATGTGAAAACCCGTAATGGGTTTGGGTAAGGGCAGAAAGTTGCTGCGCGAATTTGAAACGAGGTATGTCTACACATGTATATCTCCAACAAACAGATTTAGCTGCTTACCAAAATATCCACGCATGATGGCACCCTGAATGGGTGGGAAGCCTTGTATCCTCGATGATTCGAGCGGGAGCGAAAATAAAACCTCCTGTATGGCGGGGTCTCCGGAATCGACGGCTAAGTTCAGGGGAGATAGCATATACGCGTTCTTCCAATACACGGGCTCCAAATCTTCGCTCAACAGATGGCGCACGATTTCGATGTCACGATTAAACACGGCCATGTGCAAAGCAGTGTCTCCATGTTTGTTCTTCATCCTCAGGATAAGGTTCTTGTCCTCGACGTTGGGAAGGTCTCTTGTCCGGCGAATCAACATCGCAGCAGCTGTAGATCTCTTAACCCCAATCGCCACGTGGAGGGGGGTATCTCCCCATTCATTTTGGGCGGCTAGGAGATGGACAGGGACACAATCAAGCAGGAGCCTCAGGATGTCGTCCTTCTCGGCGACTACTGCAACGTGGAGTAGTGAATTGTCGAATGCTCCCAGGCAATTGAAAATGGCAGACGGATCGAATTGATTGGTAAGCCTTTCGATCGCAGAAATGAACTCTTCGACATGGGCGTTGAGGATGACACCCGCCAGACTTCGAGCAGCTGCAAGCACTTCCGCTGGATCTTGTTGCTCCGCGTTTCGTGGAGCTGCCAGTGCATTATTGATTCTCTCCCGTCGACGACTCCATATTTCTTCTTCTTTCAGAGAATCCATTTCATCCTCTAACATTTCCTTGAGAGCTCCTCCTCCTTCATCCTTCTTGACCTCCTCCTTGATTGAGATGTTCATGCCAACATCCTCCTCTTCTATAGATAGCTTTACGTCCATCGAGCCAAAGCTATGCAAGTAATGTAGTTACTGCAAGGGAACAAGGATTGTGTAAGGAGAAATTATATCGGTTTAAATACTAAATAATGCTTTCATTTAATTATTAAAACTTTTACAATAGTAAATAGTGTTCTCACAAAATTTAAAAAATGTTGCACAAGATCGTGCAAGCATACAAAATGTTTGCTACGAGAATTCAATGCAAGAAATTACTAAGACACCACTGATTTTCCACTTTAAAGAAGCAAAAGATTATAAGTGCTTGCACGAAAAATCTTCAAGAAAATGAATTAAAGAGTAAATTAGAGTTTCTCTCTAAAAAATTTCTATTTGAGAGAGAGAGAGAGGAGCTGCCTGGCTAATGGTGGCGATAAGTGCTCTCGGATTGAGCTCGGACACGGGACAATTATCAATAAATTCCTAAACCTACTATACAAACGCCAATTTAGTCTTAAATTTTTCAATTTGGCCAATTTAGTCCTAAATATTTTAACGATTTATCAATATAGCCCTTCTAGTCATTTTGATAGGAAATTACTAACGTGGATGTCGGCTATTCAACGTGGCATGACCGACACTGACGTGAATAACTTTTTGCATTTTTTAAAAATTTTTAAAATTTGGTTTTCTTTGTTTTTTTTTTCGTTCTTCCTCCACTAATTGCCAGAGAGGTTGACCCTTGCTGAGCCTCGACAATGGTGCTCACCTGTGGCTGGTCGTTGGCCATTTCTGAGGCTTGGCAACTGGTGGAGGAAGGATTGGAAAAAAAAAAACAAGAAAAAAAGAAAAAAAGTTACAGAAAATTTAGAAAAGTTATAAAAAAATGAAAAAAATTATTCACGTTAGCGCCGGCCGTGCCAACCAAACCATGTAGAGCGGTCGAGGTATATATCAGCGATTTCTTGCCAAAATTGATTAGAAGAACTACATTAGCAAATCATCAAAAGGTTTAGGACTAAATTGACCAAATTGAAATGTTTAAGACCGAATTAGTATTAGTGCAATAGATTTATGATTTTTTTGATAATTTTTCTGCTCACAGACAGTGGTGGCGTGATAGCGAACAAAGGCAAACATAGGCTACATATCATATACAACTCTCGGCCTCCTAACACCCACTTTTATCTCCAAAGAACAGAAATTGAAGCCCCATAGATAAAGTTAAATTGAATCACGAACATCGTCGACATACATAGTCCTAAAGTCATCCAAAACTATTGTCGGATTTGGCAAATGCAAAAATGCATGTTAGTGAGTGTAGTAATATGATGCAAAAGTCTGCGTATAGAGATCAAAAATAATTTTATCTCTATCCATGTAACTATCGAGTGTGTATAAGTCAGATATTTTTGTCCGTAACTCAGGCAAATTAATTCTAAATCAAAGACCTACTTCGTAGCTATAAAATATGATATTCAAATACTATTTATACCAAAACTGATAAGTAATTCGCTCAGAAAGTTGGTGAAATGATGCGACCAAAACCTGCATTAATAGAAGATTTGATTGACAGTTCATATTGAAGCAGGATTTTGCAGATGTTTTTCCAGGAAATTTGCCAAGATTTTTTACAGAGTATTAGATTTCATAATAGCTACAAGAGAATTTAAAACATTGTTAAGAGATTTTTGAGTTCGTCTCTTTTATAAACTTGTAATACCCGTTTTAATAGTATCCCTAAGGGTTAGCAAGAACGACAAATCCATTTATAAACATATGTAATAAGAGGTGAGAGATAAACTGTACAATGGACTCTTTATCAACACTCAGAGATGTGGTTTACATGAGGAGAGAATCTACTATGCTGTGTGTACAAAGTGTGAGAATGACCATACTTAGTGTATAGCAAGGTTGCTGTAGAAGGAAGTCGAATTCTGCAGTGGAGCAAGTTGTACACTTGTAACAAGCTGGTATTTGTATTTTTGCCATAACTTAAAAAATTCAGTCTATTTGGGCTATAAGAGTTGGAAAGAGGAGTAGACACACCCGAAATGAACCTCTATAAATCTCGTGTGGAATTTTTCTTTCTCTGAACTTTTTAATTTTCATAGTTTAGAAAGCTAATTTACGTTAAAGTAGAAGCAAAATTTTTGTTAGTATTGATTCTACAAAATTAGTTTATATTTTATTGCAAAATCATCACCTCCGTTTTAGTTCCATATTTGGGCCTAGCAAATGTCTTCCAGTGTCTTTAGAATTGGAATAATTTAGAAAATATGAGCTTGGTGAAAAAATAGCAATTATGATCATGACATTTTATCACCCAACCATTTATAATTACCACAATTACATGATGGCCTATAGTTTAGTACGGAAGCCATCCAGACATAAATCGTTATAAACAGTTGAGTTACTAGCATACTTTAAAGGCCATAAACAAGTGTTATCTCACAATATTTCATAGAGAACTCACTTTGAAAACTCGCAGAGAGAACACCATAATGCTCATCTTATTTGCTCTAACGTGCTAAAACCAAAAACCACCTTTTGTACATGTAATATTTATATCCAAAATACGAAATCCTCTTTTAGTCAACTCAAACTAGAAATCCAACTCTAACAAAGATTTATTGATACTTCATATGTTTGGTCAACCAAAATTAAGACATTCCTAGTTTAAATTACGTGGCAGGGCTTCATATCAGGTTTCGTTAGCAGGTTTAAATTTGAGTCTAGGAATGGCGAAACCTGCAGATAAAGTTACCATGGTCACTAGTGTTGCCACCACTAGGCATGAAGCTCGTCCTTAATTTCATCTTGTTTCGTTGGGCGGGAGATTGGTCGCTCCGGGAATTGACTTTTTGGCCGGAGAATGCATATACGGCCGCTCATGGGCGATGTCGTGCAGAGTGCAAACTAAAATTAGCAGGTCAATCAGCTGGGTGCGGAGACGAAAAGGAGTGGAAAGAAAGAGAGACTTTGAGCTAACTAGTGAAGGAATGGTAGTCCTCATGCGGTAGGAAACAAAACTTATATAATTGATACACTAGTGAAATCAGTGGATAGAGTGAACCAATCAAGAAAGAATATAATGAAAAGTTTGTGATCCAGCATCAAGATTGAAACAATTAATATTAACAAAAGAAATATTAGACAATTAGCAAAAGAAAAAGGAAAGGAAATATTAATCATTTTGAAAAATACATTACCTTCCAAAACAAAAACTTGCTTCTCCAACGATCTAAAGACGAGATATCGATAGCAGTCAATTCGTTTATCCCACAAAAGATGAACCCGGGCGGCCATTTTATACTACATCGAAGGCTAAACTTGTTGTTGAATAAATTCTCATGCATACTCCCTTTTCTCGCTATAAGTCCCTTTAACTGATCCTATTCTTTGCTTTAACCTGTCCCCAAGGATCGAGGTTGCCTCCCACACCAGCAAAGAGGCTTAGAGATTCATTTTGTCTTTTGTAGCTACTTCGGCAATTATGAATGTAAGAATGTGGCAACTCTTTTGTTGCTTCATCGTGATTGGACCGTTCAATTTCGATCGCCACTGGTAACAAATTACTTCGGTATAGCACAATTTGGGGGTAACTTATACCAGCTCTTGAATAGTTGCTAGGACCATCCATCATACCAATAATATCACATATTTAAGATTAGTAAATATGGACAAATCGTTCTGTAATTTAATTTGTGTATTGCTAGGATGCTAGTTGGCTTCCTCAAAAGCTCGATGTTGTATATTGAAATACCAGTTTTTGTCGGTCTAAGGGCCCCAATCGTGAGAAAGTATGTTATGTATCGAATACAAAACTGATGTGACTAACTAACCAAGCACATTCCCTTGCATGATATGCATTTTCCATTCAACTTTTGCATTTTAATTTGGAAACGCTCCCTCCTTATTAGCCAGTTACATAATGTGTCATTGCCATGTAGCACAAACTACCCCCTCCCAATCACATCAAGAATGACAATAAGGAAACATATCCTTTCCGTGCGGTCAGGGCGCGGCCAGCGTCGCGGCATCATCCGATTGGTGAGTAGCCATTGCGCGAAGAAGCTCATGAACAAGCTCATGCGGGCTCTTGCATGAATATGGTGGTCTCTGGCGGCGTTTTTCACCGCCCAACCTAATTGCCTGAACCGATCAAAATTCCTTCTTTCTTCTGTTCCATAAGAAGCAAAACAAATAAATTGAACCAAAAAAATTAAAATTAAAATAAACATAGGAAAATCACAAATGGGACAAACTTTTAATATTGATATACTAGTAGAATCATTGAATAGAGTGAACCAATCAAGAAAGAATATAATGAAAAGTGTGTGATCCAGCATCAAGATTGAAAGACAATTAAAATTGACAAAGGAAATATTAGACAATTAGCAAAAGAAAAAGGAAAGGAAAAGAAAGTTTAATCATTTTGAAAAATACATACCTTCCAATAAGTAAACTTCCTTCTCCAACGATCTATAGGGGATATCGAAAGCAGTTAACTCGTCTATCCCACGAAAGATGAACCAAAGCTGCCATTTTATATTATATTAAAGGGCTAAACTTCTTGTTGAATGAATCCTCGTACGTGGTTCCTTTTTTGCTTCGAGTCCCTTTAATTGATCCTGTTCTTTGCCAACCACAGAAGCAAAGAGGCATAGAGATTCTCAATTAGTCCTTTTGTAGCCACCTTTGGTAATTATGCGTATGATCATCCTTCGTGCCAATTATTATCACATACTAAAGTTTAGTAATTATGGACATATTGTTCCGTGTTTTAATTTTGGTACAGCTAGAACGATACTTTGCTTCATCAAAGCTAGACAGTGTGCATTGAAAGACCAATTCTTTTGAGGGTTTGTGAGTCCCAATCACAAGAAAGTATACTATGTATCAATCACACAATCGAAGCGGTTAACCAACCAATTGCATGACTTGCATATATGTATTTTTTATTAGACCCGTTGCATTTAAATTTCGAAACTTTTCCTTTTCATTGGCTTGTTACACCATCGACTATTGTGGCAAGACGCAAAATATCTCCTCTCCAATCACATCAAGAATGAGAAAAAGGAAACGTCTCCTTTCCATGTGGTCCGCATAGGATAGCCACGTGGCATCATCCAATTGGCGAGCAGTCACTGCGGGAACAAGCTCGGGTAGGCTGTTGCATGAATGTGGTGAATGGTGATGGCCGGTGGCAACTTTGTTACCGCCCCAAAAAATTAAAATGAGCATAGAGGGGAAATAAAAAAACGGGACAAAAGACAATGAACATGAATTTCATAGCTGATGACTCGCATCCGCGAATGTTCAAGCATGAGCAGAGATGAGAGTCGCCTTCAAGCGTACGAACTTTTTCAATATGCTCTTGCTTTTGGGAACATTGAGATAGAAAATCTACTTCAAGAGCAGTAGGAATAATCCATCTTATAAATATCATCACTCACATCCCGAAAAAACTTTGACAAAAAAAAAATCATCTTGAAAAATCGTATATTTTGAAAGAAGCTTGTACCCATTTTGAAATATGGGGAGGAAGATCAACATCAAAAAGCTATTGAAATTTTTTTTGAAGAATTTGTTTGATTCATAGAATAAATTTAGTTTCGTCATGGTATGATTTGATAAGATATTCAGATC